TGCCAGGGCAGGAACCATTTTTTCTTTTCTCCATCAGTGAAACCCCCCCGGTGCTTATGACAAAAAAAAAAAAGAGAAAGAAAAAAACAACAAAAAAAGCCAAATTACCTCGGTAGAAAATGGCTCTTCAGAAGCCTTTTGTGAAGCTAATGAAGCCACAGCTTTACCATTCCCTGTCATTCTAGCCTCACTGGGATCACCCATGCTATGTTGGACTTACATAGTTTTCTGTTTTTCCCTCTCTTGGCGTGTAACTTAAAAGCATACTGCGGGTGTGCTCCAGCAACCCCAGACCTTTCTTTTGATGTATTAGGATAGTTTCTTTAGACTCACAGAGCACCCACTGGAGTTACTCTTGGACAAGTGATGACCGGCATCATAATCAGTTGACTTTCTAGGACTTACTTTTGGGTAGTATTTCTTAAGAAGGATGGAAGGTGGGGGTGGGGAGATCTACTCAAAAGGGTCTGTGCTTTGTTTTGTAGACGACTATGATATCACCTTATTTATCCCAGGTTCCACTCTGGCCCCATAACTAAGTAAATGAAGCCCACCTCTCCAGACAAAACTCAGTCTAACCCCAAAACATTTAGCATTTCTATCCTTTACATGAGAGCCAAATTGTTTTCCCTGGTGTAGTTTCAAATTCTTTTTTCTTTTTCTGAAAAATGTGTTTTTGTTTCTTAATCATAGAAAAACAAAACCATAAATGCATTTCTCACAAAAAGCACTTCTTATATCCTACTGAGATGAAAAAAAATGACCTGGTCAGATTTTATTTTATTTTTATTTTTTTAAAATATATTTTATTGAGTTTTCCACAGAGAGGAGGGGAGAGGGATAGAGTTAGAAACATCTATGAGAAACATCGATCAGCTGCCTCCTGCATGGCCCCCACTGGGGATATGCCCGCAACCAAGGCACATGCCCCCGACTGGAATCGAACCCGGGACCCTTGAGTCTGCAGGCCGATGCTCTATCCACTGTGCAAAACTGGCCAGGGTGATCTGGTCAGATTTTAAATGTTAAGTTCTCATGATATGGCTTGGCTGGCATGGCTCAGTGGGTGTCAGCCTATTAACCAGGAGGTCACAGTTTGATTCCTAGTCAAGGGCACATCCCTGGGTTGCTTGCGGGCTCCATCTCCAGTAGGGGGCGTGCAGGAGGCAGCCCCTGGTGTGGGTTGTGCAGGAGGCAACTGATCAATGATTCTCTCTCAGCATTGATGGTTCTCTCTCTCTGTGTGTGTCTCTCTCTCCCTCCTCCCCCCTTCCTCTCTGAAATCAATAAAAAAATATTTTAAAAAAGACTGTCGTTCAATTTTATGCCCCCTTTCTCCCAGCCTAGTACCTATAGAAGAAGTGAAAACTCAGTCTAACCCCAAAACATTTAGCATTTCTATCCTTTACATGTGAGAGCCAAATTGTTTTCCCTGTTTTATTAAGTGAAAGATCTATAAACAGGTTCAAAATGTTGTAGGTAAGGTTCTCATGTGGCTGAGAGAAAGTACAGATTTTAAGGAATTGTTCAGACATGCAGGGGAGAAAGCTGGAGGACATGAGTCAGTCACTGTGTTAAGTAGGTGACTTAAGAACAGAGCACTCAGATTAACCTGGAGAAGAGGTAAATGATCGCCTTTCGGGCCTAGGAAGAAGCACCCTTTTCCTTAGTATGAATAGACTAATTCAACTAAGGAATAGTAAAATTCATTATGTTTAACTGATGGACAGGGAAGAGTCCAGAGGTTTTCTGTGCAATAAAACTTCATGTGTTCTTAGCTACCCCCTGTGAGAATACTCATGTAAATCAACTCCTCACTTAATTCACAAAGACAGGTTCTTGTGGTCTACTAATAACATAAGAATTTTCTTCAGAAGACTACACCCAGCAAATAGGAAACCAACAACTCCACATTCCAGAAATTAGCAGAATCTTATCATAGCTGAATGTGGCCAAGGATAGGGAGGAATCGAGGAATAAACCTACCCACAGTAAAAAAAGAAAATAAGTTAGCCAAGAAAAGCAAACTTTGGGTTTAGCTCTTCAAGACCTTAGGGGAAAAGATAAAAGTACTTCTGCTTAAAAACTTAGGGAATTTTTATAGCTGAAAGACTTTGCCTAGAATTTAGTGTGTACATGTACTGTATACGCCAGTGATGGCGAACCTATGACACGCGTGTCAGAGGTGACACGCGAACTCATTTTTTGGGTTGATTTTTCTTTGTTAAATGGCATTTAAATATATAAAATAAATATCAAAAATATGTCTTTGTTTTACTATGGTTGCGAAGAAAACTTTCTATATGTGGCACGGCACCAGAGTTAAGTTAGGGTTTTTCAAAATGCTGACACGCCGAGCTCAAAAGGTTCGCCATCACTGGCTATACCCTAACACATATTTACTTTAAGAAACACTTTCTTGGAATTGTCCTCTATCCTTTGACTGTCTTTGTTCATTAATATTTGCTTTCTTCCCAGTGCACTCCCAAGTGTGGTTCGGGATTCAAACATCGGATTGTTCTGTGCAAGAGCAGTGACCTTTCTAAAACGTTGTCAACTGCATACTGTCCACAGGAGAGCAAACCCTCTACCCGCATGCGCTGCAGTTTGGGCCGCTGCCCTCCTGCTCGCTGGGTGACAGGGGACTGGGGCCAGGTAAGGCAGTTGCACTGTGGTCTTCCCTGAGGCAGCACCTTGAGACACAGGTAGCAACATATAGAAATCGAGGTGAAAGGTATGAGTGTGGAACAATGCACAAACAGCAGCAGCCACCCATAGACACACTTAGCTATGTTTCTCCATACCTACACACTTCTCACTTCTATCAACTCCTTGGATCCTGACATTGTAACTTAAAATTAAAAGCAAAATAGTCTAGATGGCCAGAGATTTGAACAAGCTACCAAAACTTTGAGTTCTAATCCCAACTCTCTCAACTAATTGAAGAACCAGTCAGTTAACACCAGTGTCTTAATTTACCTACTTGCAAAGTAACTTCTTTTAGCCTCACAGAAAAGATATGGGGGTTTTGATTGACAGTCTTTGAAATGTCATTAATACTTATTCTTCAATGGATTTTTCTGATGGAGATTATGAATTGGGAAGCAAGTATAGGGCTTTTGGTATCCATTTTTATATTATACTCATTTCCAGTCTATGCTCCAATTCTTTTTTTTTTCTTTCTCATTTTTAAATTGTGTTATCTTACTGAAGGTACCTTAAATCCTTTAAAAGCAACTTGATATTTTTGCGCAGAAGGAAAGTTAAAGTATTGTTGTTCTTTAGTGTACAAAGGAAAATCTACTAGGTTACATTAAAAAATGACACTCCAGAAATTAAATTACTAGACTATCAAAGCTCTTTTCCTGTGATTTTATAGTTAACCTTGTAGTGAATCATTTTTTAATATCTGAGACCAAAATAAATCATAATGGCATCTAACTACACTGGTACCATTTTGTTTGTGCTCTGGGACTGCCATTACTCATTAAAAATGGCATTTCATAGAACTTGTTACCAAAATTCTGGCCAAAATTCAGTATTGCTAGAGTATAGCAGTATCTATAGACCTCTTCTATCACACTGGAGAGCAGGCAAAGATTTTCAGTCTCCATTAAGGCAAATTAATATACTTGCTCAGCCTTGTGAGGCGATAAAGGAAGTATGATCACAAAGTAATTAACATTTGCATTTGTATAGCAAATAATTAATGATTCGGTTTTCTATAACAGTATTTAGTTTAATTTACAAAGTGCTCAAGTGGAATACACATGAGCATTGTATGCAATTAAGTGTTTCATTGTAGAAGTAAGACAGTGTCACAATATATAACTGATAGTATACTATTAATGAATCTGAATGGGGAGTTGGAGGGATGGATGGATTGAACAAAAAAGAAAAAAGAAGAGAGAGTGAGCTCGTGGACATGGACAACAGTATGGTAATTGCCGGGGGGCGGGGGAGTGAGAGATAGAAGAGGGTGTAGGGGGAATAAATGATGATAGAAAAAAAATAAAATAAAAATAAGTATTTGCAAAAAAAAAGTATCAGTACAAACATGCTCTCATAATTTTTATTTAAACCAGGTAGGATTTCTTTCCTTATATATTCATCATTGTAATGCAACTGTTACATAAAGGCCCATTGAAAGTGTTTGCATGTTAGTGATTTCCTAGAATTTACAGTTATCAATTTGAGAATATTCTTTTAAATGTCCTTGGATCCTTTTCTTCTCATCCATATTTTCAATTCAGTTTCCTAAAATTGAAATTAACCAGTATAAAAAAAAGCAAAGATGCTCTAGTACATTTCTACAGTGCAGTTACTTGTCATTCTGTGTTAAGAACCATAAAGGTAAAAGTGTCTATGAATATCCTTGCAAGTTCTCTTTGTGCTTTGAGAGTTTTTGTAAATAAAACCAACAGGGCCTTGGTCTGTTTACCTTGTAAATATCCTAATGGCCTGTCTTGGCACCCGTTAGCTCCTCATCCCTTTGATCTCAAATCTCACAGGCTTTCTGGTATTTTGGAGGGCAGGCCCAAAGAATAGATCGAGGAATAAGATCGAGCTTCCTTCTTTAACCTGGACAGCTGATCAGTCCCAGCTGAAACTAAGCCGCTCAGAGAATAACTTCAATTCTGAAATAACAAAATTCCTGAATAGATATAAAGAGAGAGGGACACATGCTAATTGGCTAACACCAGACCGCTTCTCAGGTTTGTGAGGCTAATAGTACCTTAGAAAATTTGTGGTACTTATTTAAACTCTTTTAAAAATATATATTTTTATTGATTTCATAGAGGAAGGGAGCAGGAGAGAGAGAGATAGAAACATCAACCATGAGAGAAAAATCATTGATTGACTGCCTCCTGCATGCCCTCCACTGGGAATCGAGCCCACACCTGGGTATGTGCCCTGACTGGGAATCAAACCATGACCTCCTGGTTCATGGGTGGATGCTCAACCACTGAGCCATGCCGGCCGGGCACTCTCTCTCTTTTTTTTAACTGGCCATGTCACCAGGCCTCAGCAGTCACTGCGGTTACACTGAACTAATGCTTTGGACAGATTCAGAGCACACGAGTAGACCATCAGGTTCTTTGCCCACAAGCCTATGATAAATAGTGAGCAATAATGATGGCCTGGCCTGGTTATTCTACTTCATCATGAGAGTTTTCTTATTATACTCCTATTAGAGTTCACCAGCACTGCTTGGAACTGTGGAATACTAGTACAAGAAATCTTTATCTCTTGTCTTCTGGGAGCTATAATGCTTCCATTTTCTACGGTAATGACATGACCCTTGAGATTCCAGACCAATTCAAGAGTAGAATGACCTGATCATGCACCTCTCCAAGATGAACTGCATATGGGCTTTAAATGCAAATCTATGTGATATTTGAATTGACATAGTATCTTTTTACCTCCTGAAAATTGTTGAGATCAGTGTTTTGTTTCTCTCTGTCTTTGGGTTTAGTGTTCTGCTCAGTGTGGCCTTGGACAGCAAATGCGGATCGTGCAATGTCTCTCCTACACTGGACAGGCATCCAGTGACTGTCCGGAAACTGTGCGACCTTCATCGATGCAGCAGTGTGAAAGCAAATGTGACGGTACCCCTACTTCCAATACTGAAGGTGCGTTTCCCAAGAAGAGGCCTGGGGTCTCTAGTGACTCACGCATTCCCAGTGTTTGAAGAGCCCCATAAAAACAGTTTGTATAGAACATTTATGAAAGCTGTGTCTTTTCCTGACACTTTCCCTAACTGTATGACCTTCTTAAATCATTTAACCTTTCTGGAGTTAATTTTACTAATGTAAAAACATTCACACTTGTAAAGAATTTTTGTGAGTTTATTTGAGCCAAACTGTCAGCAATTCCAGGAAGCAGAATCTCAATGTATTGGGATAATGCTCCAGAGAATGGCAGTTTTTCACCTTGTTTTATACATTACAATCAAAGGTGGAGAACTAAGTGGGTTACATGAAATCCATTGGTGATAGATTAGGGAAGCAGGAGAAAGCAAGGGGGGAGAGGAGGGGGTTTGGATACAATGAGGGGGCGGTCCTCTGGGATTGAATACAAAGTAAAATGATAGACACCTACTGGATAATTAACGCTCAACTATTAGCATGATGACAATAACTGTAGGGATTTGTGGTATCTGTCCTGGTACCCAGGTGCATTTGGTTGTGCCCTGAGGGTTCTGGAAAAAGGGAAGCTGCAAATTACCCTGAGTTTTCACAGGTATGTTATCTTAGGTACAAAAAGACAATAGGTAAAGATCAAAGTTCATCTTTGTCAAGGGAGATACTGGCCTAGGACATGACTAGCCCGCATAAGTGCTTTTTAATGACAGGTTTTTATTTTCAGACCATCCTTTGTTACTTTAGGTCTTTGAGTTTGCAAGATTGCCAAGCAGGCCTTCCCTGAGCTTGTCAGGTTAGCACGTGGCCTCTTTCATCCACACTGATCTATATAATGAGAGATCGGAGTGGATAATCTCTAAGGTCGCATCCAACCTAGCATTCTGTGTTCGCCTGGTGCTAGAAATATAGAGACGGTTTCTAATGAACCATGCTTAAGAGTGAAAACTTGTGTTTCTGTTTGGATATAACTATGGCTCTCTGCCATCATGAAGATGAAAAGTCATGCTTGTTATACTTATAATGAAAGCATATGTTGAAACTACTTATGTTTCAAATGCTAATTTTCTCATTGTAGGAAAGTAGAAAAGATAATTACATAGCAGTTTTTAATAGAAGGGCAAAGGTCTTTAGACTCTGAAATTTCTCTTTGTTACTTATTGGGAAATTTCTTTACTAACAACAGATGGCCACCCAAATCCTAAAACTTCTTCAATCTTTAATTAACTATACTTTATTTACTCAGTTAGATATTTATTTGAAATTTCCTGAATGCTACTATGTGCAAGGCACTATAACAGAAACTGGGGTGTATAGAGACAAATATGGCATAGTGAGGAAGGTCAGACTGCCTTCTCATATGAAAATAGAGGCATGATCAAATACATACACATGAACATCTGAAGCCATGAATTTAAATTGTGTTGGAATCCCAGCTCTAGGGCTCTGCTTGAAAAACAAAGTAAAACAAATAAATAACTACCCTAACTATAGTCATTAATATTTTTCAAATGAAAATTATATTCTCATAAACCTGTTAAAAAGAGATATATTCCTTTTGACCAGCTTTATTCAGTTAGAAGGATTTTCTTTAAATCCTATTTTTAATGGTTCCATAGGAATTTGATTTTAGAAAAGACCAATCATCTTGCATGACAGAATGCAGAAACGTTGTGTCTTTACAAATGCTCTGGTTTTTATATCAGAATCTCAACACAATATACCTCTTGTATAACTCTCTCAAAGAAATATAGCCTAATCTTTCATTAGTTCAAAGTTACAGTGTTAATTTGCAAAATCTCTGGCTCTAAATAATCTAAATAAAAATATCTTCTATAGGACTGCAGCAAGTAACTTTTTTTTTTTTTGCAAATAACTTTTATCCATTGTAAATTATTAGTGATCAATCACATGGATTTGGGAATCAGTTTTTCTACCAGAGTTGGAAGATAAACATTAAGGTGGAAGAGAGTATATATTTATAATATTAAATTAGTTTCTGTTGGGTATTATGGTAGGCCCTTCATATTTATTACCCATCTTATATATCTCATACATAAATACCTGTGAGAGAGAGAGAGTGTGTGTGTGTGCGTGTGCGTGCGTGTGTGTGTGTGTGTGTGAGAGAGAGAGAGTGTGTGTGTGTGTGTGAGTGTGTGTGTGTGTGTCTGTGTGTGTAAGAGAGAAAGACATGGTGTGTGCGTGTGAATATCATTTGTAACTTCACTTCTTTCTGCCTTAAAGAAATTATCTTAAAATGGATAGATGCTAATGTGATGTTACTACGATTATTTAGAGAAACATCTCATAATCATTTAATCTGGCTGGACAAATAACCTTTTATTATATTAATCTGAAATAAGCAGTTAAGACAATATTTTTAGTCTTTTCGGTAAAGGAGGGAACTTTTAGCAAATTTATTAATTCTATAATGTATGACTAATCTCAGAATTGTTATTCCCCTAAAGCTGTTGACGTTTAAAAGAGGATCACTCTTTTACAAAACTAGAACTGAAGTACAAACAATATGTCTGTTATAACTTGTTTTGTGATCTCTTTAGATTCCCATTAGCATACATTGAATATATTTAAATACCTGAAACTACCTGTTTATTTAACAGCAGCTAATTATTGAGTGCTTGCTGTGGCCTACTGCTGCCATTCATTATGGAAAATTCAAATACATTTATAAGTTCATAGTCTTATAGAGAATAAACTTTGAAAAAAGGGGTGGTGGTGGAACGTGTTATATGGAGGTTTACACCGTGCTGAAAGCACTCAAATGAAGGACCAATGACTTTATTTAACCTTTAAATGAGGCAAGCTTCATAAACTAAGTGCTCTGTGAGCCAGCCATTTGTGTAGTTGGAAAAACCCACAGTTTACCCTGGGAATCAGTTGAGTTTAATCATAAACTATCATTCATGGACATAAAAATGGGCAGATAACATGGCTTTGAGAGAGAAGAGGCTGTTACATGAAAGAAATGGGAGAGTGACCAGCTATAGTTTCTGAGAATCGGATCAGGGAGACAAAAATGCCTCTTACTAAGAGAAGGTTGGGAAGAACGTCCAGTAGTCTAGGAAGGATCAGATTCTGGTTAAGGCAGGAAGGTAGAAGAGGACCCCATTTCCCCAGCAGAATTTGGTTCCCTTGACTCTTAGAGGCTACTGAGAAACTAGTTTAACTCTACCTCAAGCAAGACAGGGAGGCATAAGGGATATTTCTTGGGATCTAAAATACTGTCTTTCCCCTGTGTGGAGTCATTCTCCCATACCACAGATGCCATCTCTCTTGGGTAGAACACTCCCTTTCATATGGCATCAACCTGGGGGAAAGCAATACCCTCACCCTCTGGACTTCCTATCCCACAGTGTGGAGTTCACTCCCTGCTGAGGAGTCAGCTGCCTGGGCCAGGGTCTAGAGGGTTGAGCAGACTCAGGTGGTCTCAGTGACTGAGTGATGTGGCTTTGGAGTGAGGGACATTCCCCCCATTTCCCTGTGAACCTGACTGGTGCTTCCCCATCATGGGAGATCCATAAGCCAGAAGAGATTGGCATTAAATATTCAAAGTGATGAAAAGCAAGGACCTACAACCAAGACTACCCAGAAAGGCTATCATTTAAAATTGAAAGAAAAACAGAGTTTCCCAGTTAGGAAAAACACTAAAGGAGTTTGTTACCACCAAACCAGTATTACAAAAAATATTAAAGGGCCTTCTTAAAGAAGAAGCAGAAGAAGAAGAAGAAGAAGAAGAAGAAGAAGAAGAAGAAGAAGAAGAAGAAGAAGAAGAAGAAGGAGGCGGCAAGAGGAGAAGAAAGAATACACCTCACAAAGAAGAAGAAGAAGAAGAAAGGCATGGTTAAAAAGAATAAAATGGCAATAAATATGTATCTATCAATAATCACTTTATGTAAATGATTTAAATGCCTGAATTAAAAGACAGTGTAGCAGAATGGATAAGAAAACAAGACCCATATATATGCTGTCAACAAGAGACCCATCTCAGAATGAAAGATACCCATAGAATAAAAGCACAGGGAGAAAAAGATATTGCATGTAAATGGAAAGGAAAAAATGCTGAGATAGCAATATTTATATCTGACAAAATAGACCTCTAAATGAAGACTATAGTAAAAGACAAAGAAATACACTACATATTAATAAAGGGAGCAATCCAACAAGAGGATATAACCCTTGTAAACATGTATGCATCCAACATAGGAGCACCTAAATGTGTAAAGCAAAACAACCCAAGTGCCCATCAGTAGATGAAGGGATAAAAAGTTTTGGGACATTTACAATATGGAATACTATGCAGCTGTAAAAATGAGGACTCTCTTATACTTTGGGACAGCATGGATGGACCTGGAAAATACTATGCTAAGTGAAATAAGCCAAATCGAGAAAGGCAAATATCATATGATCTCACTTATTTGTGGAATCTAGTGAACAAAATGAATTGACCAACAAAATAAGACCCAAAGGAGGGAGGCATGGAACAGACTGACATACCTCAATGTGGGTTGGGGGGACAAGAAGAGATAAACCAAAGAACTTACATGCTTATATGCATAGCCCATGGACATAAGCAATAGGGTAGTGGAGGCCTGGCCAGGGGGTGTGCGGGGGTTGGGGGGAGAGGCTGGGAGGAGGGGGAAAAAGGAGATGACAATGGGAGATATCTATAATACTATCAACAATAAAAAATATATTTAAAAAAAGAAATACAAAGTTAAACACTGGGATACAAAGACCAAAAGCCAAAATTCCTGCCCTCAAGGAGTCCACAGTCTCATGAGGGAGGCCAGTGTACCAAGTTTCAGCTGGAAGGTTGGAGAGATTATGAGTAGACCACAGCTACCCTGAGATTGCATAATAATAATAATAATAAAATGCATCCATAAAAAAATTTTTTTGATGGACAGAAAAAGAGAGATTGACAATACAGTTAGAGTAAGGGATTTTAACACCCCACTGACATCAATGGC